TGCTATTCCAAATGCCACTGAGCTCTATATCGGACTAGCCAACTGGTCAAGTGGTTTTGGTTTCAGTGCACCCATAATCCCTGTGAAGCCTGTTTGGTTCATTTCACTTCTCAAAAGGACTCTTTTCGAAGCTCATGAACTCCCGAGCCAACATGGAGTGGCCCCTGCCTTCGGTTCTCACGAGATGGTCTCGGTCGGTCGCATCGAGGCCGGTTACTCCATGGATCTCACCGAGCCGGTCATGGGCCGTGCGCTCTTTCACAGTTCGCTCTCTCAGGTTCTGACCAACGCTGGCAAGTTTTGTTTCTGAGGATTACACTCCCTGAAGTCATCATGGAAGTGGAAAATAACCCCCGGAAAGATAATTTTCCTCTACAAGCAGGTGGTTTTCCACTTCCATGATTATGTGAGGGAGTTGGGGGTGACCGATGGTCTTTTTTAGTTTGCGTTTAGAGTTTAGACGAACAATTTGCCGTACAATGCTCCTTTTTGAGCAGTGGCTGGTGCATGTCTACGGATGGCAGACATGGGCCAGCCTGTACACCCTTCGCCGGGGCCAAAGAAATCATCATCAAGAGCAGCCCTTTAAATGGGTAGACGGGTAAAGCGAGCCACGTTGTCAGTACCCATCAACAAACACGTTTTCTTTAGAATCTCAGAGCCTGTTGTACTTGGGTGTGAATCTGAAACGTTTTGTACATTGGATCAGCAAGCAGCCAGCTTCATGTTGTTGATGGCTTTGCAAAACTCTGACGAAGAATCAACATGTCTAATGTTTGGCACTTGGGGGTGGACATGTTTAAAGAAGCTAGAACCAGCAACCATGGAGGACTCACCCGTCCAATCGCCCCTTGGGGGAAAGAGCAGTACAGGCTGGCTCGCAGCATTTGTCATGGCAGTGAAGAAGCAACAACAAAAAAGTACAAGTTGCGTGATTCAATACATATGGGGAGACTCCTCCGCAAACCGCGGCCAATGTATTTTTCTTTTGGAGGTCTCCCTATTCCAAGACACACTCATTTCAAACGGAAAACCTTTGATAGGGACCCTCGAACATCTTGTTGAGTAGCAGAAATTGATGACAACCAGTCGGGTGGTGTGCCTGCACAATTTTTGCGACACTCCACTTGCACCCATGTCCCTGTCCAGCTGTAGTTCGTCAAATCCGCATCTCACGCCAAGGCGATGGCTGCTACAAGATCCCCAATGTGTGGGGCTGAGCTGGTCACTATAGCCATGTCTGTGCCAAGGACTGGGTAAGCCACCCACGCTCTTGATGGAGTATAAGGATGTGGTTCGGTAAAGTTTACCGCCAAGAGTATATCAGTTTTATTGCCTACGTTGAATTGCATGTACAGCATGCCATGGCATCAGTGATGCGGCTACTATTGACATGTAATGAAGGAAGGTCCAGGCACGTGGAAGATTGTCGCTCAGAGCACCTAGGTCCGTGTGGAAGGCTTCATGTGCCTAACAAACACCACGTGCGTGTGCTCAGTGGACAGTCTTGACTTGGCCGGGGTCCCACGGGACGCACAGCAATATCATCAATCATGAACACTATCCTGACCTCGGTCCCAACCACTTTAGACTGGTTATTCCATCATGTTCAACGTCAAAAATCAGATGCTTGCTTCTTTACATTAAGAGTCTTTAGGTGGGATGGTCACAGTCGTCCCAGTATGTTTGGACTGGTCCATCTCAATATATGATATATGAGTATGTTTGGGGCAATCCATGCTTGCCACCATATTGAGTTTCTGTTGTTTGATCCCTCACCCCACAAGAGTCCCAAAAGTTTCAGCCTTTGACAAACATATTGGACCGACATCCTGCGCGGTGTTCCAACGATGTCAGTGAGCACCTTTGGCCATTTGCCCTGAGCGATCCCCAGCATTGGGATGCAAACTCTTGACTTGGCAGTCAGGACTCTTCAATGCCCAACCCCCAGCAGTATTCTAGATGGGCTTGCTTGGGTTTCCGTGTCTTTTCATTGCCTCCTGAACTGCTACCACCTTTCCGCACATTTAGGTCCAATACAGCCTTCAGAGGCTTCGGTGGACCTCAAGGCAGGGCTTAAGCAGGACAGATAATGCAGGCATTTGTCAAGCATTCAACAAGCTTCCAAGTGATAAAGAAGAATTCCTAGAAGACCATGTTCTTCTATGGACCGTTTTTGGTCCCTGTGAAAGGCAGTCAAAGCCTGTCCAAAGAGGAATTGTTGGATTAGTAGTCTTTGTGGGTCGGTCCCGATGGGCCTAGATAGATCCAATAGAAGGTAGTTGGACCCTCCAAAACCACCTTGTAGAGGAGAGTACTGTATGTGGATCCTCAAAAATCCCCAGCAAAACCTGAGTTGCGCAAGGATTGGAAAAAAAAAACAACACGTGTTGAAGAGTAAGATACATTTGTGTGTTCTACAAGACCATTTTGCCATCGTTTGCATTTACCGTTATCCTGGATATCCACTATAGATGGAAGTTGTTGCCAGCAACATGTAGATCAGTGTAGCTTTGGTTAAATCGTTTTAATATCTATATGTCTATTTTGGCATTTTTATTTTTGGAATTCTCCAACTACATAGTCACTCCAGACAATGCCTCTGGAATTATATTGGACCCGAACACCAAATATTTATTTGTGGAGCTTCAGGTTTTCTTTGTGTAAAAGAAATAAATACGTTAACCGATGGTGAGCCAGGTAGATGGATCCGGAAAGTTATATACCTTCATGGCGCGCCTCCAAAGATTCTGTTTTGGGATGTTCGATTCCAAATATTGTTCCTTGGGACTTGCTTAATTACTTGGAAGCACAAAAAATAGCAGGATTGCCCGGACCCTACTTGTATGGGTATATACGGTATATATCGGTATATAGTTTTTGGAGCCAAATTTCACCGTGCCATACTTCCGGGTGAGGCTTGATGGTGGCGGAAGCCTACATGGTCCATTTGGCCGCCGCGCTGAAGACGAGCTTTGCGCCTAGAGGGCCTTAGGGATCGACAGCCATTGGACTACAAACACGTTCCAAGAGATATATATATATGCATAACTATTCATTTGTTTGTTTAAAGCCCGCTCCCCCCCCTCCTACTTGATCAAGTAGGCGTCTACTTAATTAAGTAAGGCACTGAGGTAGCTAGTAGCTAACAAGTAGCTACTACCGACAGCAGGATAGCTCACGCTTCTTCAAGGAAGCTCCCCCCGCGTAAGGGCGGTGGGGGAGCTTCCTTGAAGAAGCGCTCGCACTATTAATTTGATTCCTAGATGTTTGGGGAAATTTAACTTCCTCTCAACGATGAGGCCCAGAAGCCCTTTTGTAGGCGCCTACTTAATTGAATATGGGAGAAGTAAGCTCCTTAGGCTCAGTTAGCTTCTAGTAACTGGACGCAGGATAGTATCTTCTAATCATTTGGTTCCTAGACTTTTAGGGAATACTTCAATGCAAGAATAACGCCTCTATGTTTTTGCTCTTTTCATCTCTGAAGATGTTTCTTCCGTTGTACTTTGTAACCGTTTGCCCGGCAGCCGTGGTTCCGGCTGTCTTAATGGATCAAGCGTGCTTTGTACTTCATATCGGTCAAGCTTGGTCTACTTACATTCCCACGAAGTCGGGTATCGGTATTACCCGTTCGCTTCCGCAGGGGTCCTCAGAGCATTCTCAGTGGCATTCACACAAGCCGTGGCCGAGAATATTCAGAACACGTATTTGTGCGATGAAGCGGGGAAATTGTATTGGACTTCCAAATAATTAAACACATAGGTTCTTTAGTGAGCCTAGAGCTAGGGCATTTCTGTGATTCGGATGCATCCAAGACGTCTTCAAAAGAGAACATTTGTACACATGACTTTCCGTGAGGCTGATACCACCAAGCTTGCACGTCTTGACACCACGATGAGTCATAAAACTGGTTACACTATTTTTGCCCACAATGATAGTTGGCAAGTACTGCTCCGCAACCATCAGCACAAGCAGTTTTCAATCACGTCCGCTCCGTCTTGGCCTCAGGTCCGGAAGAGCTCCGGATCCGCAACACCTACGCCTTCGAGGGCGACCGGGGCACTCAGTGGAGAATGCGCATCCGGAATGCGGAATGGTAGGAAGGTATGCTGTGGCTACGAGTGGGCTGAGTTTGGAGTTTCAGGCAATGCGTCAGAGTGATAGATCCACAACATAGCACCATGCAAACCACAATAGGCCACTCTGGCAGATACCTATCCTGGTCAATTGAACACACCGATGGGCCGATGAACCAATGACTCGCCGGTTTTCAGGTGGTGATTTCTTGGGAAAATGTGGGTCCAAGTGCGTCAGGTAAACCTTGACCTTTGCCGGAGCTTGATAGAGACGGCTGCTTTGATTTGTTTGTAGTTCCGAACCTTGGTTGACTCGCTCTTTGGGTCGGCCCGTCCAGCCTTTACTTTAAGTGCGTTTATTTGTACATACATATATGTATACAGTGCATATATATATATATGATATGTCATGTTATGTCCAGATGAAGTTTGCTTCAATTTGTGCGACCTGTGTGCGACATGTGTGTGTGTGTTGCCAATAAAAGATCAGTTTCAGTTTCAGGGGGGCAAGCAAGAAGGAAGGAATCATCTACCAAGCCATAGCAATCCTTGTGCGAATATGTGTATGGGACCAGTATGTGACCAGTATTGCCGCAAGGAGTTCAACTCCGACTAATCAGAGCAATCAGACGATGGCCAGCTGCAAAGGATCGGAGAACAGCTTCCCTTTTGAAATCTTGACACTGTTTATATAAATAGAATAAATAGGGTTTGCGACTTTGTCTTGTAGCAGCAGCATCAAGCCATCATAATTAACTCCCACTGATGACGTTTGGGTTTGCATAGGAAGATGGTGTTTCATACCATGTTCAGACAGGTTCACCAAATCTGTCGAGCCGTTGTTCTTCCAATTTGGAGCCCTTGTGGGCTGTGGTGTCTTCACGTCCCTGATGGTTTCTTCGCCTGCATCCGCTGCCACGTTTCTCTCAGCCATTTTGGATATCAGAGCCGCGCTTGCTGCTCTTCACCGTCCGGGGTAGGAGCCTTCAGTGACAATGCTTTAGCCGTTTTGGCCGTTTCTCTCAGGCACCAAGCCCACCGTCTAAAGTGTAGAATGGGCACCGTGGGGTGTTCACCACAAGCTCACACAAGCTCATCGTTAACAGGACTGGGGGTCTACAATCCTGAGTCCTGCCAGGAGTTCGGCTCCTCTAGCTCGTCTTCTCGTTCCGGCTGCATGAACTGAGGGAAGGATGTGACTGAAGAGAGGAAAGTTATTGGAGCTTGGACCATTGGAACCCCGAGATTTGTTAAAGGTGATCATCCACAGGTCACATGTTATATGCAAGGAGTCTCGACTGTCAGAGTTTCTACAACAAACAGTGAAAACACATATATTTCGTATCGTACAATATAGTTCTGCTTTTTGGGCGGCAGGTATTTTTGACATTCTAGTTGGGAAGTGGACAAACCCATGGCATCGAGTGTTTAATATTGGTGTGTCGCCCCTTGGTCGTCCTTATGCATTATGCTGACTGGGTTAGTCATCTCGCGTTTGTACCAAATCTCCACGAAACGCCAAGCTACGCGCTCGGGTCGTCTCCAAGTGCCCGAGACGAACCCGGGAAGTTCGAGTGGTCGTCCATGGGCCGAACAAGAGTGGAGCATGGCGCCTCCGCTCTACTAGCGATGGCCTCAACCTACTACTAGTAGCTTCTTTCTCCTAGTAGTAAGGTGAGGAGCCCCTAATGGCGTTCTTGCTACTAGTAGCCATGACACGGCAGGACAATTGAAAGAGTTCAATGTTTGTTGAGCCTTGAGAGTCGAGTGTCCGCTTGCTGAAGAACTTGGAGAAGTCCCGTTTCAGACTTGAAACCATCAGATGAACACAAAGAGTAGGCCTGGTTTGTGTTAATTGTTGTCATGTGAACTACCAGAGGTACGGTCAACATGACCCAGATAAAGCTTCCACCAGATATCAGTCACCACTGATTCCGTAGAGGTAGTAGCTAGAGGTAGCTAGTAGAAGCTAGATGGCTAGTAGCTTAAGTAGCTACTACCTAGGACGCAGGATAGCTCACGCTTCTTCACGGAAGCTCTCCCCGCCTGAGAGCGGGGGGGAGCTTTTTCCACTAATGATTTGGTTTCTAGATTTTTAGGGACACTTATATAAGCTCATTTCTCCAATCTCTATCCGGCTGCTTGCATTGCCCTTGCAACTCTTCAACCCTGACGGGATGATGTACCTTATCCTCCTTTGAGTTCTGACCCTGAGCTAAGCTTTTGGGTTGTGGGTCTCCCCCTGATGTTTGATTGGTAGATTAGATGTTGCCCATTCACACTTGTTCATTGTTTAAGGGGGTTGTGAACATCGCACTCCTCACCATGCGGCGTTCGCACCAAGACGCAGAACAAATGTTGAACAAATCTGAGGTTTCAGTCGAGCTAACATTTTGAACATGGTGAAGGGTGGAAATGCAGCAAAGCAGGTGCGGCCCCTGCATGGGGACAGCAGGTTCGGTTCAGAAGCTGATGCATTTCGGATGGGACCTCCAGTGAAACCCCGCTAAAACCCTGCCTGACAGTGTAGCTACTCAGATCTAGCACTTGCACTTTTCTCTAGTCCAGTTACCCCTACCCCAACCCAGTCCCTGAAAACACGTTTGGATACTTTTGGTAACGGTGAAGACTGAGGTGGTTCTTGGTGTCGGCAGGCAGTTGGAGAACCAGCGGGCCCGTTCTCAACTTTACCAGGTGGCCTTGCTAGCTGCTACCGTGCCTCTTCTTCACGTAGGCAGCATTGAACAACTTGTTGAACAGAATGAATCTAGGCCATTTTTCCCGGGGTTTATCTGGTGCTTAATATGGTAAACACCAGGTGTTGGATGTTTTTCATATTTGGAAATGCGGTGGTCGCAATCGGAGGCACTGAACAGAGCCTTCGCTTCCACACAAGTGGCTTCCAGTGGCGAGACGACGGCGCGCACGTGGCTTGACCTTTGTCAGTCGAAACAGTTCGACATCTTACAGCCGACATCATGCTACCCCAGTGACTCAACCAAGGATGAGAAACTTCTCTAATCAGTAGGTACCACTCGCCCTGAAAAGCGGCCGTGTGTTTTCAGGCACTTGGGTGGGTTGGGCTGGCGGGGGTGGTGGGGGGAATATAATATTACACAACACTCAAACTTTTGCCAAATGACAAATGCTGGGTGAATTCGGAGTTCCCGCTTGTGATACCCGAGCCTCCCCAGCACGTCTCCAGCTGGCATATGGCTGCTGTCGTCTCATTTTCTTTGTGCACTTAAGGCGATGAGAGCCATCAACCATGCTGTTTGAGAACAGAGTTGGGCAAACTTTTGTACAATTCTTGGAGATCTGCCAGCAATTCTTTAAACCTGGACATCAGCTATGGGAAACTCACCAAGCATTGGTACCGAACATTACCAAACGATACCAAGCGAATCTTTCACGTTCAGGCCACTACAGTGCAAACGCAGCTCGCCCCTTCAGCGGGACGTCGCTTCATGCAAGACTGGGGTCAAGCTTCATTTTGGGGTGCATATGACACCCTCCAAACTTGAATTGCTCTTTCCGCTCCAAAAAACATGCAACATGCCTTCTCAGCTGAAAACCTGGCCATCGGTTCCGGCCATGCCTCACCATACAGCGAGAAACCATTGTGGGGTCGAGCACTTTGAGGCTCATGTCGTTCCCGGCCGTCTTCCGTTTCGGTCAACCTGGTGCATTTGTATGCAATTTGCCCCTAGTAGCGTCCTTGCTCCTAGTAGTACGGCCAGGAGCCCCTAGTATCGTTCTTGTTACTAGTAGCGATGCCCTTGTTACTAGTAGCTTCTTGTTCCTAGTAGCCTCTTCGGAGATAATGATATAGATCTACCTTTTTGCTCTCCGAATCTGATTCATCGCCGAAGAAAAGCTGCTTTTCTCAGACAGGTCGAGAAACTCATGTCCTTGAAACACGCCGGAACCAAGCGGGTGCCTCGTATATTGTAATGCCACGCTTCAGTCAGAGCCACTTGAGCAAAGGTCTCCGAGTGTCCAAGAATGGACCGGACAAACAACATGTTCTTCCTCCAAAGTTTTGTTTCCCGTGCAGGGGCCACGTTGTATTTTTAATTGTCACCCAATCAGATCTGAAAAGTCAATGAAACGATGGTCACAAAGGGGAACGATTTCACACTCCCTTGGATATTTATGAGCTTGTTTAGACCTCAACAACGAGCAGGCCAGAAAGCTTACACGATCCATTTGGATTTTGATATTCACAGCGCTTCAGTTCACAGCGCTTCAGTCTTGATTCAGGGTGGAGGCCATAGCTACTAGGGTGGAGGCCATCGCTACTAGGGTGGAGGCCATCGTGGAGGCCATCGCTACTAGGGTGGAGGCCATCGCTGCTAGGGTGGAGGCCATCGCTACTAGGGTGGAGGCCATCGCTACTAGGGTGGAGGCCATCGCTACTGGGGTGCAGGCCATTGCTAGTAGTAACAAGAAACTATCAGGGCTAGTAAAGGATACTGAGCGAAACTGCTGATTGTGTGATCCCACCTAGCACGATGCGAGGCAAGAGCTGTTCTCCATTTGGGTCATCCGGAGGGGTTCCCGGAGTCACAGTCGAAGGGTCAAAAATTGGTCAAGAATGCACAGTAAGAAAACGGATATTTACGTGGTTTTCATGACGGTGCAATTCCATTTAGCGTCTTGGAATTGAATTCCAAGACGCGGATGCCCTTGAGGCTCCAAGCTCCGTCATGAGCCGTCCATTTCTCACTCAGCGGGCCAATGTTGTGAAACCGATGACGATGTTCTGTAACCAAAATAAATCAAAATACGTAATATATATATATATATATTCACATATATTACTAAATGTATAGAGATTACTCCACCCACGTTAACCCAACAGTTTCTTTTTTGATGAGAATGGCTTGGCGGTGACAATGTTGTGAAACCGAAGACAATGTTGGAAGACCGTAAGAATGATTAAGAATGCTCTGCAACCGATCACGCTGTCGCCGTGCAGATGACTCCAAAACAGCTTGCATAATCTTGTACTACTGTATTGTAAATCCATCGGTTAAGGAGGTTTCCCTACTAAAGCACAAAACCCATTTTTTGTACCACCCGACTGGTTCCGAGTTGGCTTCCTGCGTCGACTCAGGGCCGGTGCCGCCATGTCTTTCGCCAAGAAGATCAAAGCCAGCCGTTCCCTGGATGAATGGCAGGGGAGTCGTTGTCCTGGGAACAACGACCATGGCATGACCAGAATGTCGATGCTTTGGATGGGGATGCGGCCTGGAGGAGTTCAATCAGGAGTGAATAGTCAAAAAGGTTCAAACGCAGAGAAAACAACATAATTGCTGTAATTTGCGAGCAGCAAAAGGAGATTCAGGAGACTGCTCCCACTTTGCCGTGAAGTCTGGAAGTCAAAATGTATTCAATGTGTTTCTTTATTAGGAACTTCGGAGTCTTGGAAGCGCTATTTTCTCAGCTGGTTTCTACTGATGTTGAATAAAAGATATTACTGTAACAGCTCGTTTACAAGGACACCAAAGTGAGCAAGTGCACGTAAAGTCTAAAGACAACGTATACGCAGACCTTTGCGAGAGTGGTATTCCGCTCGATTCAGCAAGCGCTGAGGAGAACGTGTTCACAACGGCAAAGGTCTTGTCTATTGGCAAGCACACTTCTACATGACATGTATTGTACAACGAACCCTTTTGGATGCCCTGCATGATCCTTTAGCAAGAACCTGCATGGTCAGCCACCACGCTGTGTCTTGTTTTTTTGTAGCAGCATGTAGCAGCCTAGCGGCCTAGCGTGCCCCACCAAACAAGACCCAACCTACACTCACCCAAGAAATATTGGATTTAAAAAAGCAAAGCTAATGAGAATCATAACGAATCCACATGACATTCAACCTGGTATCTCATCACAGCCTATAAAGCTAATTACACACACACTCTCCACTGGCCGCGGGGGAAGAAGAACAGGAGCGGTCAACAAATCTCGAGCCAAGCATACAAAACCAACACGCGAGAGCCTGCAACCGTGTGTGATGTTTCCTCACATGTGGTCTCATCTGCACGGCGCAGATTCTAAACTCATGCGCTGCAGCACTTCGTCCATTGTGAAACAAAAGAATTCACCACCACCACCACCACCACCACCACCACCACCACCACCACCACTATCGTGATCATCGTCATCGTCATCGTCGTCATCATCTGGGTTTTCAAAGCACCATTGGTCTGTTGAAAGACGGAGGGCCCAACCTGCTCTTTGGGTCCATGTGGTTGTTCTTTGATTTGTGCAAACTGGCGAAATCTGCAGGTTCCATCGACATGCCGATGCTCTCTCATGAGGGGAAGTCGGAACGTGCCATCGACGGGAACACCGCCGCGGCACATGTGGCATATGCCCTCAGCACCACAGCTGAAATACGACATTTGCGTTTTAAAAGAGACAACAAAGGCTAGGGAAGGCAACAGCTGCGACGAACAATGAACATCCTATTGAACTATATTAAACATGTGTTTTTCTTGGATTCAATGGAGGAATAGTTTCCATTTGGTGCTCGCAAAATGTGACAAATCAAGTCGAGTCAAGAGTCAATAGAGCACGTTTTCGGGGTGACGTCACCAACCGGGGCGAAGCAATGGATTTACATCACAATGCGACGCATAATACTGTTTTGTTCAAGATGTTTCAAGAGTCCGAGAATCCAAACAATACCGTTTTCTGGTTTCGTGCCACTCCCAGTCATTGGCCAAGGTGAGATGAAAATAATTAGTCAACTCGCCAACCAACCAACACAACAATTAGTACTCGTAGGTGCAAATTTGCAACTTGATGTTTGTTGACCCGTTGGTTTGGATGTCAGTGATCAGCTCAACCATCCTTGTTCTGACAGCTTCCTGGGTCTCGGATAGGTACGTAGGACTTGGACACATTGGTCCAGGACCAACTGGTGGGCGCCCTTGGTGGGTCGATTGTGGCAACACGTGTCGTGTTGATCCTGGCTGTGCCTGGCTGGAACTTCAATGGGTGCGTGATCAAATCTGAATGCCCAAGTCATGCTGTTTGGTTCGCATAAAAGGTATGTGATGTGCACTTCCAACGTTTCAACACCTTTGTTTCATGAACATTTAGGGTGGCCACAAGATGCTGGCTGGACCGACGCCAGGTGATGTCTCCTTCATCTACCCCATCTCCCCTTCCACCAGTATGGGGGAGACCATGGACAAGTTTGCCACCGCCGGTCGCAAGAATGTCTTTGGGCAGACGGTGAAGGCACAGCTTGGGGCGCGAGGGCCGAGGTGTTGGGGCTGACTGCAGGGGCAAGCGGAGATTTGAACCTACGAAGCCACCTATGGTACAGAAGCTCGCCAAGTCAGAACATGAGCAATCGAAGGCAATTGTCCTAGTGTATTATCAGATATTATTCGTCTTCTTCGGGGTGTTCTTCTACTGAGCCATTGGTGGCAGCTAAGTGATCTGACCAAACATCCGTCTATAGAAATGTCCGGTCCTTCCAAGCCTGCAACCGCGCAAAAGAAGCGGGTTAAGAGCACTTTTCCACCTACGTCATTTTAGATCCAGGTGGAGGAAACTGGAACTTTGAGACTGGAAGCTGCACCACTTGGGATGCTTGGATAGCTAACTGCTAGCTTCCCCTATTGCAAGCCCCATTTCAATATTTTGGGGGCTGCCAGAGAGACCACCACAATTGCAACCCCCCCCGGCGTTGCGACTTCCTCAGACCCCACCCCTGCTTCCCAGCCTGTATCCTGTTGTCCAAAGTAGAATGTTTCAGCCAACATCACACAGTTCGAAGTGGTCCATTTGCCCGCAACCAACATTCGCGCTTTTTTAGCCAACGGTGTTGGACAAGATGTGCACATGGCTAGAATTGCAGTATGTGACGACTGGCTCAGCACCTGAAAGCACGAAATACAGGTCAGGCAGATGCAGTCTGAGTTGGGATCAGAGCCTTGGCCCAGATTTCACCGGACGGGATCGGAGGTGCGGTGCATGATTTCGTCCATGGGTCATTTGGGTCGCTTTTCGGCTGTGCCCCGCATGTCAGTTCCTGGTTAACGCTAGTAGCAAGGTGCATCGCTACTAGTAGCAAGGATGCTACTAGTAGCAAGGCACCTTACTACTAGCAACAAGAAGCTACTAGTTCTATCTAGTTATAACTTATAACCGTGGTCAACTTCGGACAACAATTGGACCTTGGATGTGGTTCATAAAAGGTACAGCGGAGCATGCTGAGCATGAGCAGATTGGTAGCTCATGGCGGCCCTCTGGAAGAATGAAAGTTCCGGCTAGGCCCTTCGGTTCGATTTCCTCAGATTTGTTGACGATCGGAATGCAGCTTGTCGACAACTTCGGGGTTTGAAGCAGTCCATCATGAACGGAAGACTCCCAGGTATACCATGCGTTTGGGATCGTTTGGTTTTAAAGGGTATGCATATGGTCATTATATTATGTACTGTATCCATGATTTTGCGTTTACAAGTCTGTGCTTACTTACGATGGTTTTCATTTACACGTTTTGTCCACCCGTTTCAAGGCCGGTGCTTTGCATGGCGCTCTCTCAGGTGGGGTGTGTGACCCGCGACACCGGACTGGGAAACACTACGGGATTCAGAACGATAGTCATTTGTGCGTAGTCCAGTGAAAGGTAAGGCTGTGTTTATTTGACCAATTGGCAATGGCTGAAACTTGCTTAATCCTCAAACATAGGATGCCATCCGAATCCACCTGTGCCCCGGGGTGCTGTCTTTTTTGGGCCACATCAATTTGTTTAAAAATGCAATTTAATTTGAAGTTGACCCTGCGACCCGTGTTCCAAGGTCCTAGTGGCTGAGTTCAGCTATAGGGATGGTGTTAATCATAGGTTTAGATCTATTGTCCTTGAGTTCACAGCCATCAATGACACTTTTTGAAGCATTTTTTCACGAGCCCAATCAACTGGTCAGAAAGTAGCTGTTCTGTAATTGACAACGGACAACAGATGTGGTGCACTTACACGCTCCGAGGCACGTCAAAAAACATGTAGATAGCTGTGTGGGTGGGGCCTTGCTGGGGTCCCTGTTGGCCCCGACCATCGTCCGCACTCGTCCCGGAGCCGTGGCACGGCAGCCACCGCGGCCGGTGAGGTGGAGCATTGTGTACAACCTTCACGGCCTCACAAGGATTGCTCTTGAGACTTGGTTCATTTTGGTTCATCTTGGTTCGCACAATGAGGTGGACTTGAGACCCCCAAGGACCCCGAATTCTTCCTCTTTGTGAGACTCGGTTCACTGATTCGCATTGGCAAGAGGCAGCCAGTCATAGGAGTGCCTCGTTTGTATCCAAGTCATGCTACAGGTCATTGGATCTCCATGCGTAAGATGATGAGCCATGGCCCCGAATTGGACTGGACAAATCAGACCTTGATCCTTGCAAACAAATCTGCTCTTGATGGAGTCCTCGTGCCAGTGAGGATCATTCTTTCAAACCTTGATCGTAACTTCCAAGCGGTGAAGAATCTGACCACATGAGAATCACTCGCAGATACTACACACGCTTGAAGAGTTGAGCTTCGACGGTGAGAACTTGTGGTTTGCTCATACGTCCTGGACAAACTAGCAACACCACAATACCACTAGTGGATTTGATTAATTGCTTGACATGCCTCGAAGTTGACATTTCCCTGTCCTGATGAACTCAGGTGGACAAGCAACTTGATTAGAGTCCTAAGTCCCAAGTGACTTGGAAGAGGGCACCCAAATTAAAGACCCAAGCAGACGTCTCGTCAAAAGGTCAGCGCCAGCACCTTTCAATTTCTCAATGCTTGGTGTTTGGAAGCACTCTTGCACCGGTAATGATGATGAGATGTTTGCATTCCTTGAGTACAAATGGTGGGTTTGATGGTTTTTGTATTGATTGAACGGATCCTCATGCAGGTGATGCAGTCGAAGCAAAACACCAAAGACCATATGTCAAATGACAATTACTATTATTGTATATACATATATTTATATATGTGATAGTAGTAGACCCCTATGTTCGATTTATGTTGTGGAATATTCATCTATCAATACCTACTGTATAATAGTGGTGTTTTGACCCACATTGAAGTTCACCCCATTCCCAAAGCTGATGCTGTGCAGGCAGCATTTTGATAAGCGCTGAACTAGACTCAATGAAGAGCAACCCCCTATGGTTGTACTATGTTGTACTGTAGCTTTTGCACGTTCCTTTCCTGGAATTCTGCCAGGTCCGTGACAGAGGTGTGGTGACCTCTCTAATTAAAGGAGACTCCTAGTCCTACACAACATGGCACACCCTTGTTGAACGGACTCCGGACATTCTGAGTGTTGTCCGGTACAAGAGTCAATCGCGTGTCCTGCCTAAGGATGATCCCAAACATGCTGCTCGGTTCTCGAAGTCCTGGGACTGTCCAGCCAACCAGGGCTTGCCTGATGAATGGGTTTTGTTGAGCAAGGCGGCAGCTTCTAGGCAGAGTGTCCACGACGCCAAAGGACACTGCGTGTTCAGACTCCTTTTCTCAAAGCTGTTACACGGTTATTTACAGATTCTACATAATTTTACAATAGTGTGGTTGGGTTTCGGGAACCAACCTTTGAGGGTAGGGTGGTTTGCCCAGAGCCAGCAACTATATTATTGCCTGAGTAGAACTGCCTGGGTTCCACAGATCTCAGATCTTTTTCCTTTGTCTTTGGTTGGATGTTTTACCAACCCGTGTGATTTCGAAGGTGGAGACTTTGGATTCTAGTTTCTAGATCTTGTTATTATCAATGCTAAAGCCCTGAGAAGTTTCTGTTAATATAGGATATCAACAGCAAACATGTATATAATAGTCGTTTATCATTTTTCACTATTCGCCGTCTATAGGTACCTTTGTGCTGGCGAGCTCCTGCCCGCGGTCTTCCACGTCTCCGCGCGTGCCTTGGCGCGGCAGTCGCTCTCCATCTTTTGCGACCACTCTGACGTCATGGCCGTGGCTCGGCGGGAGCAGCGTGACGGAGCGGGGGGAGTGGTGTCCAGATGGTCCACTGGTGCGGAACTGAAGTGACCACACTGTGTATATATGATTCCAAGTGCGCATGAGTGGCCGGCAACAGACGAGGTGCAATTCTAGAGTGCCCCGAACATGAGAATCCAAGCCTTCAAACACATCAAACACAGCAGATACAAAGTGATATAACTAGTACTTACGCTTACAAGAGCACAGACTTTGCAAGAGTTTCTTCAAGGATTTCTTCACATCACCCGCTACAATTTGCAAACTTTGTAGGTATGTCATGAATGTGTATACATACAAGGACCATCCATATCGCAGGAACAATAAGATACTAGGAACAAGTGCATCGCTTTTAGTAACAAGTGCCTTACTAGTAGGAACAAGAAGCTAGTAGTAAACAATCAGCTACTAGTAGCATGTCCGCGTCGTATGAACTGATGTTTGTTCGTCACGACCCCAGGTGCGATCCACTGGCTGTGCGCTGCTGAGTGCCCACAACCCTCAAGAGGCAGGGGCTTTTGTGACAGTGATGCATTCTGTAAGTGTGTTCGTGTCGTTTGAGACTGAATTTGGCGATATCCCTAAAATTGATCCCTAAAAATTGTACATTTGTCCGGCAATCAAAACCCGGTGGGATAGAGAATAAAAGGACCGGATAACCCCAAGTTTTACAAATTTCAACTGTATATGAACATCAGTTGGGAGACGGAGTAGTGAGATGAAAAGTCAAGAAGGAAGTGTGAGGCGGTTATGCTGAGACGTGCAGTATAAGTGATGATGTGATAGCAGCATTGTAGCATTGGTCTCCGCGAAAATCCGACTAGAAAAGGCAAATATACAATCGACTGCGAATGCCTTCTCTCCGTTCTCATACACAATGGCACTACAAAGCAGAGACAGTTTGCAAGCATCTTTGCCACAGCCATTACAATGCGATTCGCATGCAGTGAGACCCCTTTCTTTGCAAATCACAATGGCAGCAGCGCAGAGACAGGCTTCACAAACAACTTCTATGCAGCATTTACAAGGCGATTCGCATGCCGCGTAAACACTGGTCCTGCAAATCACAATGGCACCAGTGCACAGACACACTTCGCAAACATCCTTCTCGCAGCATTTACAATGCGACTCCGAACCGGCAAGAACCAATACTATGGAAATCACAATGGCAGTAGTGCACAGACACAGTGTGCGCACATCCTGGCCGCAGCCATTACAATGCGATTCGCAGCCTATCACAACCATTGCTTTGCAAATCACAATGGCAGTAACGCACAGAACCGCAGGGGGCCCAGCGGCGACAACGCGCGCCGCAGCCCCTTCTGGAGGCTC